CACCCAGACGATTCCAGGAGGGCCCAGAGACGGCCCCAAGACAGCTCCAAGAGGTCGTCGTCACGTCGTCGTCGTCGTCGTCGCCGTCGTCCTTCGTCGTCGTCGTCGTCGTCGTCGTCGTCGTCGTCGAATTCCAGTTTTTCCTATGCGCCCCCCCTGAACGGGCCAAAAAATTAGGGTTTTTGCACATTGCGACCGAAAGCGCTTCTCGCGCATTCACCGCCAACGCGCCGAGGCAAGGGATGCAACGAAAAAATGTTCAAATTCCTATGGGTGTTTGACTCATCAGGGGGGGCCGCACGGGAAAAACACATGGAAAAATTGCCGTCGTCGTCGTCGTCGTCGTCGTCGTCGTCGTCGTCGTCGTCGTCGTCGTCGTCGTCGTCATCGTCGTCGTCTTCGTCTTCGTCGTCGTCGTCGTCGTCGTCGTCGTCGTGATGCCCCACGGGGGACACCAGGTAACTCCGATGTCCCAGCGGGACCACCGGGTAACTCATGCCCAGACCCCCCCTGCAAGGTCGAGTTGCCCGATGTCCCCCAGGGACCACCGGGTAACTCCAATGTCCCACGGGCCGATGGCCCACGGGGACCACCGGGTCATTCCGATGTCCCACGGGGGACACGGGGTAACTCCGATGTCCTACGGGCTGATGTCCCACGGAGACCACCGGGTAACTCTGATGTCCCACGGGGGACACCAGGTAACTCCGATGTCCCCCGGGCTGATGTCCCACGGGGACCACCGGGTAACTCCGATGTCCCCCGGGGGACACCAGGTAACTCCGATGTCCCACGGGCCGATGTCCCACGAGGACCACTGGGTAATTCCGATGTTCCACGGGGGACACCGGGAATTCCGATGTCCCACGGGCCGATATGTCCCACGGGGACCACCGGGTGACTCCGATGTCCCACGGGGGACCACCGGGTAAATTCATATCCAGACCCCCCCCTGCAGGGTCGAGTTATCCGATGTCCCCTGGGGACCACTGGGTAACTCCGATGTCTCGCGCGGGACACCGAATCATGCCGAATGCGCCACCTGCAAGGTCGACTTACTCGATACCCTTCGGGGGACACCGGGTAAGTGGGGGGCGTGGAGCGCACCCCCCGTTTATCCGATGTCTCCCAGGGGACACAAGGTAACTCATGCCCGACACCCCCCCGTGCATAGTCGAGTTACCCGATGCCCCCCCCTCGCCACCGGGCAACTCGTGCCCAACACCCCCCCCTGCAAGGTCGAGTTACCCGATGTCCCTCTGGGGACACCGGGTAAGTGGGGGGTGTGGAGCGCACCCCCCAGTTACCCGATGCTCTCAAGTGGGGGCGCCAAGTAACCCATGCCCATCGTCGTCGTCGCCGGTCGCCGGTCGTCGGTCGTGAGCCGGAAAAAAATTTGAGGCTTCGGATCCTTTTTGGGGCCCCCCAAGGCCCCGAGGGCTCCAGAACCCTGGGGAAAAGCAGCAGCAAAGCTTACCACTCCAGGTGGTCGAGCCCATGAAGTGCTCAGACCGGCGTTTCCGTATTATTCATCCTCATCATACTCCTCATCATTTCCCACGTCGTCATCACCACCACCATTATCGCCATGATCGTGGTCATCATCATCATGTCCCTGGAGCCCTCAGTCCTCAGGCCCCTGGAGCCCTCAGTCCTGTGTACTAGTTTATTTCAGGGGTCGACCCCTCCAAGTTGGCCCCAAGAGGGCCCCAAGAGGGCCCAAACCGTCTCTTGGTTGGCAAACTGGACATGGATGTCCAAATTGTCCGGGCGCCGTGGGACACTTCAAGGTGCCGCCCGTTGCGCCGCCCAGAAGAAATCGATAGCCCCCCGCCGAAGCTTCAAGAACAGGCGGCCAAGACAATTTGGACATGGATGTCCAAATTGTGCAGGCCCCAAGAGGGCCCAAAACAGCCACAGACCCCGCGACGATGGCGACGACGACGACGACGACGATGACGAAGACGGCGGCGGCGGCGGCGGCGGACGAGGAGGATGAGGAGGATGAGAAGAGGGAGGGGAGGAGGATGAGGGGAGGGAGGAGGAGGCAGCGGGGGAGGAGGATGGAGATGAGAATGAGGGGAGGGAGCTGCAGGAGGAGGAGGAGGAGGAGGTAGATGATGAGGGGAGGGAGGAGGAGGAGGAGGAGGCGGACGAGGAGGAGGAAGAGCAGGAGGAAGAGGACGATGGCATCAGTGCTATGCACAAGAACTGCCACCATCCAGAGGTCCAGAGGAAGAAGAGGAAGAGGAGGAGGGAGGACCCCCCAGAGTCTGGGGGCGGCCCAGAGTCTGAACAGTACTTTTTTCAGATGGTGCCTCTCGCCGAGCAAGTCCAGGGGACGCCAGACGGGCCGCGAGCTCCAATCAGCCCCGGGCGTAACCCTCGGCCCCCTCCCACACACCTCCGCCCTCACTTGGCCCCATCTGCGATAGCGGGACCTTCCCTTCCCCGGGGCACATTCCGACATTCCGACTGCTCCGACTGAGGTGCCTGCCTTACCGCTCTGCCGTCGCCGCCGACACTCTTCGGGCGCCGGCCACTGTGTGCCACCCAACGAGGAAGCGGGCCCAGGCATCTCACGACTTGCCTACCTCCCACATGCGCCAGCTCCACGGGGGGCTCCCGGCGGGCCAACGTAGCTTCGCGCCTAATACCGCCTTGGGCGCGCCCAGTTGGGGATGCTGGCTCGCCCTTGGCCCCCAGGAGACCCTTGCTCCTGGGTCCCCCTTTGTGGCCTCTCGCCCTCCGGCGGAGTGCCGCCCCTTTCGGCCCGCCCTAGGCGTTGCCCCGGGGTCTCAGGCCCCCCTCGCCCTAGCTGGAGAGACCCGTACTGCCAGTTACGCTACTGCAGCGGCGTACGTTGACCGCCCTGTCTGGCTCAGCTCTGTCCACGCACACTTCGCGACTGTTAGTCGCGCCCATCTCCCTTGCCCACCGCTTACAGCTTACTTACACTGCGACTGTCAGTCGCTTCCCAGCGACTCCCTTCTCCCCGCACTCATAGCTTACGTGCACTGCGGTCGCTTCCCACCGACTTCCTTCCCCCCGCGCTCACTGCTTACGTCCACTGCGACTGTCAGTCACCTCCCTCCGACTCCCATACCTGGCAATGCGGCTGTCAGCCGCCGTCTCCCCCCCCCAGCCGCGGCCACGCATTGCGGCCGCTCCGGCCTCGTGCCTAATACCGCCCTGCGAGCACCCTGTGGGGGTGCCGGCCCTCCCCTGGCCCCCCTGCTCGCTCACTCGGGCCACTTGCGACGTTGCGCCCTCGGTGCCATGTCGCCCCCCGGCGCCCGCCCCCGCGCCGCCGCGGGACCTCTCGGCCCCCCCGTCGTCTCCTGCTCGAGACCACCGGGCCGGCTGGGGCTTGGTTGCTGGAGCTGCGCGCGCCGCCTCCGCTTGCCGCGCTGCTCCTCGTCGCATCCGCCGCGGACCACGCCACGCAGCTACCAGCACGACTCCGCTGCCGGTGGCTCCCCCCCGGGCGACGACGATGGTCGGGATTGTCGCCGTCGGCGCTCGGCGGCACCGCTCTGGCGGGCGAGGACACAGGGAACCCCATCGGCCCTTCGCGCCCTGGCCAACGTCTTCGGTGAGTCCCTTCGCTTTGTAGATAGGCTCTGTAGAGGAGGCACCCTCGCACTGCGTCGACCTCTCACGGTTTCCCCCGCAGCCCCAGTCTCGCGCATGAGGTTGCTGGGAACCCCCCCGACCCTGGACGCCGGGTTGCAGCTTTCCCCTCTCCGCGGCCACTCTGGGCGCCCTGAGGCTGGCCTGCTTGCCCCATCCATTTCGGGGTGCCCCTGGGCTCTCGGGCCTGCGACTCGCCCGTGGTCGCCGCCCCCGCCCGCTCGGGGTCGACGGACGCTCGGTCCTCCCCCACGCCGCTTCCCCCAGGGTCGACCTGTACCCCTGGCTTGGGCGCCGCCGCTTCCAGTTCTGGACGTAGCCTTTTTCGCTGGCTCGTCGCCTTCGCTGCCGTTGTGTTGCCTTGGCGTCGCTTCTCCTGCTCCCCCGCCGTGGTGGCGCTTCCGCCGCTGGCACGCTCCCCCTCTTGGCGATCCGGTACTCTTCCGTTGAGCGCTTGCACGCCCGTTCGTCGTCTTCGTGTACGTGGACTGCATGAATTTCGCCATTTTGGTGCTGCACCTCGACCAGTGACTCCGCTAGGTCCACCGCGTCTCTTCAGCCGCAGCGTAGTTCGCTCCTGTGCGTTCTCGTGCTGAATTTAGTCCGCTGCTCGTTAGCCGCGTTTCTTGACGGCGCCTTGCATTCCTGCGCGCTGGCGAAAAACCGATCGGAGGCTTGCATGAGGCCTCTTGGAGGCTATCTTGAGACATATTCGGCAAGAGGTCGTTGGAAGCCATCCTGAGCTTCGGGGCTCTCTGAAGCCCCCCTGTGTTGGGCCTCTTGGGCCACTTTTTGGGCCCTCTTGGGGTTCATTCGAAGGATTCGAGGGCCCTTTCGACGGCCCGTCGTGTTCCTGATTCGAGTGTCACAGACCCTCTCTCGAGAGCTCAGTTTCATGCGTATGCCTTGCGTGCCAAGCTGGTCGCCAGCTCGTCGCGTCCGCTCACTCTCGTGTGACGTCTCGTCTTGGTCGCCGCTCGTGGCTCAAGGCCTACTGGACGCCGAGCCGCCGCATTCCAACCTTCGTCCACAGCCCGAACGCGTGCGAGCGGGCAAGCCGTGGCTGTCAAGGGGGAGTGCCGATTCAGATGTCGGCGGCGGTCGGCGCGATGGCGCAGACGAAGGGGCAGGGGGGCTCAATCGCCCTCGTTAGCACGCCGTTGCGGATGAGGTCGAAGGGGGGGGGGGGAGACGCTGTTGCCCTCCTCAGCACAGAACCATCAGGGCCGGCCGCCAAGGCGGTAGCGCAGAAGGAGTGGCCGTTGTGGCGGCTGAGCCTCGTCGCGCTTCCGTGCATGTCGGTCACGGTCGTGCGGTCGGTCACCACGTCGCGCAGCGCCCCCTACCTGGTGGGGCTCGGGATGAGACCCGCATGGGCCACCCTCAACAACATAGCGGGCCCGACCTGCGGCTTCTTCACTGGTGGGCGCGCTGTCCGACTCGTCGACCTCTCCCTACGGGCGAAGGAGGCCCATCATCGTGGCCGCGCTCGCCGCCTTGTGGGTGTCTGGGCTCCTCTTCGCCTCCAGCCCAGCGCTGGTGCCCGCCGGCGCGGCCGCGGGCTTTGCGGCCTGCATGTTGTGGCTGACCGACATCGCGCTCAACGCGCTGCAGACACCCATGCGGGCGCTGGTGGCGGACCTCGCGTCGAGCGGTCAGCAGGTGCAGGTGCAGGTGTTGGTCAGCTGCTTCCAGGCGGTCGGATCCCTGGTCGGCTTCTCCATCATGAAGGAATACGGCAGCAACGACAGCGTTTCGGAGCACATGCTCGAGATCATGGTCGTGGTGTGCTGCATTGTCACGGTGGCGGTCGCCGTCATGCTCTGTGCGGCCACGGAGACGCAGCTGGCGGGGGACCGCGCCGCCAGGCAGTCCAGCCCCGTCTCGGACGTGTTTGAGGCAGTGCGGGGGAGTTCCACGCTGCTGCGGCACCTGGTCGGCGTGCACTGCCTGGTGTTCGTCGGAGCGACGGTGTGGTTCTCGTACTCCGTGCAGTGGTTCGGCCTCTGCGTGTTCGCGGGCGATCCCGCCGCGCCCCCGGGCTCCGCGGCCCATCGCTTGTACGCCTCAGGCCAAGAGGCGTTCGCGTACGCGGGGCAGTGCGGGTCGTGGCTGATGCTGCTCATGACCCTGCTCCTCGTCGTCGCCCTCCACCGGACCACGCTGCCCCCCAAGGGCGCCTACCCCGCCTGCATCTTCGTCGGGGCGGGCACCAGCTTCGCGGCCGCGTTCTTCGTGAACCACAACGCCACCCTCGCGACGGCCTGCATGGCGCTGTCGGTGCTGCCCTGCGTCGGCGCGCACGGCATCCCCTGGGGCCTCATCGCCGCCAGCAACAAGGCTGCCGAGGAGCAGGGGCTCCCCGTCAGCACCGCGATGCAGATGGCCCTGCTGAACTGCGGCCTCGTGATCGGCCAGCAGCTCACCCACATGACGCTCGCGGCGCTGGAGAGCTTCGTGGCGCCCACGCTGGCGCTCCCCGCCATGCTGGCCGCCGGCGCGCTGGCTCTGACCACGGCGGGCGCTGGCGCGCTCCTGCTCCCGAGCGGCGCCGAGGAGTGCGGCGCGCTGGGCGCGGGCGGGCGCGCTGGCGAAGCGGACCCGGAGCGCCACGGCGCCGGTCTCTGACGCGCAGAAGGGCGCGCGCAGGAGCGCAAGAGAGCGCGGGAGCGCGGGAGAGCCCGACGGAGAGCCCGAGAGCGCGAGAGCGCGAGGGGTCGGGGCGGGCACGGCGCCCCTCCCGCAGGGCGGCAGGCCACGCTCGGGGGCAGCGACGTCCTGCCCCCGTCGCAGGGGCTCGCTCCCTCCACCCGCGCCCCCCGCCAGCCGAGTGGCTTCGGCCGCCCTCTGCCGCGCGCGCTCCCTCGCCGGGCCAGGGACCCGAGTGGCCGTCATCCTGAGGGCAGGAGGTGGGCGATGGTGGCCGCTGAGGGGAGGAGGTGGGCGAGGGTGGCCGTCAGCAGAGAGCCCACCTCCTGGGCCTCTGATGAGGGTCCATGGTTCCTCTGTGGCCGCTGAGAGGAGGAGGAGGAGGAGGAGGAGGAGGAGGAGGAGGAGGAGGAGGAGGAGGAGGAGGAGGAGGAGTGCAGGATTTTCTTCGCTCGAATTTTCTCTCCGTTCGCCCGGTGGTGGGGCAGGGGGCGTGCTCGCACCCTGCAGGCGTTCCCGTCTGGCTTTTCTCGCCTCTGCCCGTCTGCGTCTGATCGGGTGTGGGCCTGCTCTCCCTGCCGGGCGAGCGGGGAGACAGCATTGCGCACTCTTGAGTCGGGCATGTCCCTCCACAGGAGGAAGATTCAAGAGTAGACAAACAATAGTCAGGGGACGACGTTTCGACTACGCTTGACTATTTAGGAATACTCGTGTGTATTAAAAGACATCCTCCAAATGTGCCTGTAGAAGGACATGCCCGACCTAAGCACACTTGCGAGATTGACTCCCTGGGGGACGCCGCAGCTCTTGCTCCACGTCTGAGTCTCGTCGGCGTCGGAGCGCGCGCGAGCGCGCGTCGCCTCCTACGAGCTCCCGCCCCACAGGTGAGGGCAATCGTTCCGCCAGGTCCGCCACCGTGCCGGAAGTGGGCGCCGTGTGCAGAGTACGCATGGCACCACGATGCTTCAGAGGGGGGGCGTCAAGCCCGGCCTCGGCGTGGGGGGGGATCCGGATTCTTGTGTAGATAGGACGACCAGCGCACGACGACCAGTCACGGACGGTCCATGTTTTCCAGCGGATATTTGGCGCCTCGCTTGTGTGGTGAGGCATCCATCGCCGTGGGCCTCTGGCCTCTCGGGCATCTCCCCGAGTGCTCTTTGCGGTGTCGCTCATTTCCAGGGCTCCCGCCACCCCCGTGCGGGGGTCCCTGTCGGCTGGCACGGACCGCCAGGGCCCAGGAGGTAGCCATATACAGTGTAGTTTGTGGCTCTCCTGGGGGCCTGGACCAGCCGTGCCCCTCAACGGAGTCATCGGTCTTGCGCTCTCAGGTTAGGCCTCCACGCGCCCCCACCCCTGGGGTCGCGCACAAAAGTCGGAAACTGGAACGTATACATTACCAGTGGCGGGCTGTTTCTCAATCCCAGGACTTTTTTACGGTCGGGGACGACGTCGGGGTGGTGTGGTGTATTCTTTTTCCGTCTTCCCGGGGGAGATCCGCTTTCCTGTGCGGATTTCAGTGCGGGCCGGAAAACACGTCGGTGTATAGAGTTCAGCTCCTTATAATTAGAGGCTCCCTCTTGCGTGTGGCCGAAGGTCGGCCTGGCCGAGCTCCGCGTGGCCGAGCTCGGCGTCATGGCCGGGGCGCGCCAGCCTTGCCGCCCACTCGGAGGGCCGCCCCCCTTCGCGCTTACCCCCCCTTGTGGGCTGCCGCTGCTCATTCAGCATGATACTGCCCCGAACCCCAATAGCCTCAGCTGCCTCGATGCGCCCGCCCCAGAGATGCATCGTATTGACAAAAATCAGGACGGAGTTTTTCCGCAAATTTCGGCCCCTGGGGGCTCTCGCCGGGCCTCGGGACCGTCAAAAAAGCTGGTCCTGTGGAATGGGTCGAGACTTCCGGACACGCTGCATGTTGGCTCGGCACGTGCTGCCCTACGTGTTGAGCTCCGTATCAATACGCTACGTGTTGCGTGTTGCGTATCGGGGCCGCGAAGCATCACTCTACCCCTAACCCTAATAACACAGTGAATTCGTAATGTAACTTAGGTCCCCGGTTTCAGGGATATCTCCAAACCGATGTGTGGCTGTTTTTGACACATTTGCAAAAGGAGAGACCCCATGCCCCTCATGTTCCCGGCCCTCCTCATCAAAGGGTCAGGGCTACTTTTAGTGCCTGTCAGCTGCCGCCCCCCCCCCCCCCGCGCGCCCGCCCCAGGATCTGCGGAAGCTGGACGGCGGGCCGGGCCCACGGGCGGGGCCCAGCGCGAGTGCGGAGCTGCAGGAGCCCCTGCGCTCTGCCGGGAGGGCTTTCGCGCCGCTGCACCTCAGAGGAGGGCGAGTGCAGGCAACGGTGATCGGCCTCTGTGGGACCCCTCGTCGCCAAGGCTGGACGCGGCTCGAAAAACTGGTGCGCTTGAACCCGGTCCGGAGACCCATTTTGAGTTGTCGTCGTCTCAATTCGCCCTGCTCCGAGCATCATCGGACGGGGCCAGGACGAGGATAAATCCGTTCCAGAGCGTTCTGGAGCGCTCTCAGAGCGTTCTGGAACGCTCTGAGAAGGCCGCGGCGCCCGAGACATCCTCCGGAGCCGCCAGATCTCAGAGATTCTCGATTTATCCTCACCCGAATTCATCTTCGTCCTGGTTTCGTCTTACATCAGGATCCGAAGGGGGTGACACTGGGCGTCGGAAGCTCAGAGGTGGACACCAACACCAATGGATCGGCAGTGTGCCTCCACCGAGGGGAGATGCTCCCGATCTCGGCGATGGTGGTGATATTTGAGATTCCTCGGTGTCCGATTCATTACCAAGGTCGAGTCCCTTCTTCGCCAGGCGCCCGCCTCCGAGCGACGCTGCCCCGCGCAGCGTGCGCGTCCTCGGGCTGCGGTGGGCCCGGCCGCCGCGCCAGCCCCCGCAGCCTGCCACTGCTTTGGTCTGGCTGGCTCTGGAGCGCGCGCGCTGCGGGGAGCGAGGGGGGATCAGATGCCCCTGGGGGAGGCAGCCCCCTGTGTCTCTGGCTTCGCGTTTTTCTGTGATATGTATACATACATCTAACTACAGGTATATGTTTATAATTGTTATATATACATAATATACGTACACATATACAATTATATCGTATCGGTATATCGCATGTGTGTGTCCCTTGTTCGTAGTTTCTGTTGGTGGCTACGTTGTGTTTGTTGTGGCTCGGCTCTGAAATCACAATTGCTATATGTTGCCAGTGTTTCGGCGAACGTGATGTCTCAGTGCATCCCCATCCAAAAGCAACGCTGTCGGGGATGGCGCAGAATGTCCTGCCGCTTCCGGTGCCCACCAAGGGCCGACATCATGCGCGACTGCCTGGCCGATCCCAAACGCTCGGAACTTCACACATGGGGCCCTGAGGGATGGGGACCTGAAGGTGCGAAAACGAGGCCATTGAGGAGATTGCCGGGCGGAGCCGCGCTGCGACGGGGGATGCGCAGTGCGCGGGGCTCCCAGATCATGGCTGGCCCCGCAGCAACCTGAGAGCGCCATGGTTCGAAGAAGAATGAACAGCATAAACATAATTAAAGCTTCGACTGTGCGAGCTGATTTCGTGGATTTGCGCGCGAGCCTCCCAGCGGCGCCTCCAGCGCCCCCCGGCGCGGATCCAAGAAATCCACTGGCGGACCATCGAAAACGTATATTTTTGTTGCTTTTCTTACTTTGATTGCCCAGCCTTTCAGAACCCCTCGTGTTCACGATTGCTTGGGGCGGCGCGTTCAATGCCGCCATGATGTTCGTGGCCCAGGGAAAGGCCCTCGCCCGTCCGATCGCCACGTCGGGGCAGCTTTGTCGCACCCCTCGAGCAGGTGTGAGCAGCGCTGGGCAGATGGCTGGGCTCTCACGGGCTCTCCCTTGCCAGGTCGCGGCGCCCTGCTTCAACTTCGCGCTCGGTGAAAGTCGGGGAAGAGCGTGTTTTTGTTTTCGGCCCGCCTGCGGTTTCCCCCCCTTTCCTTTCGCGCCGTTCCTTTTTTTTCCTGTGTCATTTTCTTGCGCGGTCGAGGTCGCGTCTCGCCCGCGCTGTGCTTCCCAGGCGTCAACGTCGAAGTGTTCAAGATTGACTGGCTGCGCACCGTGGACCAAAGGGGTTGGGCGGTCTTTGCCGGCGCGTTGCCGTGGTGCAGATTGAGGAAGCAATTGCAGTGCATTCGGGCGCGTGCGGCGATTCACCAAGACGCATTACGACGCGAATGACACGCCCGACAGGCCGCGTGTCTTGTCCGAGCGCGCCGCGAACGCCAAGACGCAGCATAACCAGAGAATTCGCGGCCAGGCGGTCGGGTCGTTCAGAAGCACGGGGTCGCATGATGACAGGAAGCCGCTAGGACCTACATCGTTGAAACAAAAAGCTGAGGTGGCGTGATGCGACGTTCGACTTGCCAATCCGTTTGGGTATTTCTCACGTGAACAGGAGACTCGCGCGGAACAGTTCGGCTTCCTCCAGTAGCTTACACGGCGGCTATATTAACGTAGGATTGGGAAATACTTCGCCGAACCTTTCATGAACAATGGGGCTGGATGCAGGCTCGTGCTCAAACATTTCAGTTCCGCCCGCTCCGCCTATCCTGCCAGTCGTGAATCGCGTCTTCTCCAGTCCACACAGCATTGTTTTTTTTTCATCATGGCCGATGCATCGCGATTCTGGGAGTGCCATGCGCGATGCCGCGCTGGATGCGCTGCGGCAGTTGCGCTTCTGCAGCCGCTCGTTGTTCGCAGCGGCTGCGTCTTCGTATGTGAGCTGTTCGCCCGATTCCGCCGGCAGGTTCGCGGCCTCGCTTTTCGCTCTTCAAGCGCTGCAGCTGGGAACGGGCGCGCGAAGCCGGGGCGCAGTTCTCCCCGCTGTGGCCTGCCCCAGGGGGCAGCCGTCGCCGCGCGGAACATACAGCGGCGAGGATTTCGGGGGCACCACGGGGCACGTTGCGAAGACCCGCGGCTCCATGGTCGCGGCGGCAGGCTTCTCCCGATCGGCCGTCGCATGCGCCAGCGCGCCGCCGACGGCGGGCCCGGCACGAGATCCACACGCGCGAACAGAAAACAATATGGTTAGCAGCAGAATGGTGCAGGAATGAGAAGGAGGCGACGCTTCTTGCTTTACTAGGCTACGCCCCTCTGCTGCAGGAGGCCGCGCATCTTTCCTCCAATGTTGCCACGTCGGATATGGGCGTTTGACGACGGGCGCTTTGGGTTAGAAAACGGGTGTTCACGGGAGGCACACGCGTCACCAAACAAGAGCGACGCCAGAGGTGAATGTCTTTTTCATCATCGTCTTCGTCGCCATCGCCGTGTTCTTTTGTTGAGAACCAGTTCGGGATCAGGATATGGGCGCATTTCTGGATCAGTTTCCCAGTCCAGGCTGGGCTGGCCGCGAGACCCGCCAAAAACCCCATCGACACAACCTTTGGTGCAGCGACCAGCGACGCCGTCGACGTGGTCGTCGCTTCTCAATTCGCGATGGCTTGATTTTGTGAATCCGCGGGCCTCGGGGATCTCGGCCCTCTTGCTAGGAAGCAGCTTCTCGCCGCGGATCCATGCATGATGGCCCGCGGACCCGAAACGACAATGCACCCCCGCCCAGGTCGGAAACATCCACAAATCAGTCGCTGATGGTCAGGGCCGTTCCCCGTTCGCCCCTGCGACGGGTCTGCTGGGCGCAAGGGCCAGCATGTGGAGAGGGTGCAGCATAGTGACAGGTCGCGGAGCGCCTCCCCTGGACCTACGGGAGGAGGAGGAGGAGGCGGATGAGGAGGAGGAGGAGGAGGCGGAGGGCGAGGAGGATGAGGAGGAGGAGGAGTAGGAGGAGGAAGAAGAGGAGGAGGATAAGGAGGAGGATGGAGAGGAGGAGGAGCAATCATTTTGATATTGGTCGTTCTCCTTTGCTCGCGTGTCATTGAACATGTCACACGCACGCTCTCGATCCCCGCCCCCCTCGTCTTCGATCGTGCCCCTCTGGGGGTTCTTTCTGCCTCCACTGCCACGCGTAAGTGGCGCGGCCCGCAGACTAGAGAGAACAGAGATGATGAGAACGAGTGGGAGCGAGGATGGCAGAAGTGGAGGAAGGGAGGGTGAGGAGAAGCAGGCAGAAGGGACGGAGGGGCAAGATGGAGGACGAGAGGGATCAGCGAGGAGGAGCAGCAGGAGGAGGCAGCAGTGAGATCTCGGGTGAGAGCACGCTTCCGAAGTAGACATTCGGAGGACGTCCCGAGCGAGAGCGCGGTTCCAGAGCGCCGGGAGAGCGATTCGTGTCAGGAGGTCTCAGGCGAGAGCGCGATGCCTGGATAAATTGTAAGGGAGTCTCTAGCGAAAGCCAGATTTCTGAGAATGATGTGAGGAAGCATCTGGCGCGAGCAGACGTTGTGGCAAATTTGGGACCAACAGCACATTCTGAGGCGCATGATTTTCCTTCGTTAAAAACAGGGTGCGAACCCCGGGAGGGGCACTTCGATGCAAGCAAACACACGGTGCACTGGAGGGGAGATCAACAGTAATTCATTGTGCCGAGATAGGAATCCAATACAATGTCTGACATTCAACACAAGAAAACCTTTCTAGATCCCACATCCTCCTTTTTCCCCTGACGTCATCGTGTGTTTCACAGCGCCGGCCTCATGGAGCCCTTCCGCGAGGGCCGCTTTCCATCCGGGGGCAGTCGTCGTGGTAGGTAGCCCGGAGACGACATCCAGAGGCCGGGAACTCATAACGATATCAGATTTCTGTTCGAGGCTCTGGAGATCTCTGCTCGAGGCAGTTGGCCCTCGGGGTTGGAGAAGCGACTCGGGCACAGCAGCGAGAAGGAAAAAGCGGAGGAAGCAAATGGGGGGGGAGCCCGCTCGGACCACGAAGGCCGGCGCGAGGGTGCTGAAGAAGAGCATGCAGCTGCGGGACAGCGAGCCACGCTCCTCCACCCTGGGGTCCCCCCCTCCGTCCCCACCCCGAGGTGAGCATCGTTTCACCGATCCCCATCCCCAGCGGCGTAGCCTGGGCCCCACTGGCCGATCTACCCTCCTAGATGGGGATAGGCCGTTCCCTTCGGGTTTCGAGGGGTGTATCCCCAGCTGGGGCGGTGATTTGGTGGGGGAAACGGTTGGGGCAGTCGATGAGGAATGTGCCCAGGAGGCTTCAGACCCTGGAGGGTTCCGTGTCTGATGAGGGCGGCAGTGACACCCATGGCACGTCCACGATTGAATTTCCATAGTTTCCAGACCATGGATTCCTTATCCAATGTTTCCGTATCGAATGCCATCTCCGTATCAAACGATTGGCGCTATCGGAGAGCCCTGGTCATCCTAGCACGCGGTCTTAGGACCCAGCGCTGGAATCGTCACGCGACGAATTGTCGGGATATGCGGAGGAGGGCGGCACGAGGAGGAGGAGGAGGAGGAGAAGCAGGATTCTCCTCGAATTCTCGAGGAACGCGCTTCGTGGCCTCAGAGGCAGTTTCTCTTTGGGATCCATATGTTTGACTGCCCCTTGGAAGCCGACGCCGAAGATCGTCCTCGTCCTCGTCCTCGTCCGGGGCTGCTGCGGGAGGCGCGGCCGGCGGCAGCGGCGTCGGCGTCGGCAGGACGGCGGCGTCGTCGTCGTCGTCGTCGTCGTCGTCGTCAGCTTCGTCGTCGTCGTCCTCGTCCTCGTCGTCGTCGTCGTCGCCGCCGTCGTCGTCGCCTTAGAGGGCGCCTCGCCAGGACACGGAGCGGCGGCTGCGGGCCGCCGTGCGGCGCTCCGAGGCGGAGGCCGACCAGGAGCGCGCGGGGCTGCTGCGGGAGGCGCGGCCGGCGGCAGCGGCGTCGGCGTCGGCAGGTCGTCGGCGTCGTCGTCGTCGGTGTCGTCGTCGGCGGCGTCGTCGTCGTCGTCCTCCTCCTCCTCCTCCTCCTCCTCCTCCTCCTCCTCCTCCTCCTCCCCCTCCCCCTCCCCCTCCTCCTCCCCCTCCTCCTCCTCCGCCTCCTCATCCTCCTCCTCCTCTCCCTCCCCTCCGAGTCGGCAGTGCGTCAGCGCTGCTGTCGTCGTCGTCGTTGTCGTCGCCGGCGGCGGCGGCGGCGGCGGCGGCGTCGGCGTCGGCGTCGGCGGCGGTGCGTCGGCGTCGGTGCGTCGTCGTCGGCGGCACGTCTTCGTTGCCGTTCTCGCGGGGCGGCGTCGTCGCCCGCGTCGTCGGCGTCAGGGGATGGGAAGAGGGGAGGGGGAGGAGGAGGAGGAGGAGGAGGAGGAGGAGGAGGAGGAGGAGGAGGAGGAGGAGGAGGAGGAGGACGAGGAGGACGAGGGGGGCGAGGAGGAATACTTGGGTTGAAATAGGAGGAGGGGGGAGGAGGAGGAGGAGGAGGAGGAGGAGGAGGAGGAGGAGGACGACGACGAGGACGAGGACGAGGAGGAGGAGGAGAAAGACGAGGAGGAGGATGAGGAGGAGGAGGAGGAGGCCGAAGGGGGACCTACTTCCTCATCCCCTTCCCTCTGGCCCCCCTCCCTCTTTTTGCTGCAACCCTGAAGACGGGCACGTCCCTCTACAGGGGAAATATTTCAAAATAGTTAAAAAGTCGGGGGACGATTATTTGAGTATTTGTTTGACTATTTGGGGGCATGGTTTGAGTATGTTTTGATGCTTCATTCAAAACCCGCCTGTAGGGGGGCATGCTCGACCTAATGCTATCCCCTTTTCTCCTCCCCCTCCCTCATCCCCCCCCTCCTTCCCCCAAGGGACGGGAAAGATGGGAGGTCCACATTTGGACACTATGAGGATCGTGGATGCTCGTCAGTCCCGCCGCACCTTCGAATATCGATGACCTGTTGGTATCTACCGTACTCCTGCCGTTTGTGTAGGCAGTGGATCTTCTCAACTCTTCCCCCTCGTCACCGCGTATGCCTGTCTAGCTCAAGACTTAGTCGAGCTCCGAAGTCCTAGTCCCGACTCGTCTGAAGCTCACGAAGTCCCTTGTATACACCATGAATTTCCTTCAGCTTCCGCACAGCAGCTGATCTAACCTCTTGGGTGCTCAGCTCATGCTTCAGCAGATGGAAGGCCCCCCTGGCTCCTCGAGCAACTCAGACTGACATGGGGTCAAGGGCCGCCACGAAGGCCCGACGGTATTCGCGGTTCGCGATCCGCGATTCCTCATCCTCATCCCTGTCCTCCACTTCTCCCCGCGGGTGGGGGGGGCGGCGGCGCCAGACCGCGGGGCTGCTCGCGAACCGCGAAGCGCGAACGTAGCTGCCCTTGCGCATGTGGCCTGGCAGGCACCTGCACCCGCTCTGGCGGTGAGGGCCGCGCTCACCACGGGGCCGCCACGGTGGCCGGCCTGGCCGCGAGGCCCAGGGCCGCGCCCTGCACAGGAGGCGGCTGCAGCGCCGGGCTCGACGGGCGAGAGGCACCCGGGGCACCCCGGGCCGCCGCGCTCGGGCACGCTCGCCGCAGAGTGGCGGCGGACGAGACGACGTCGAGGAGGCCACGGGCAGCATGTCCGAGGCCCCGAACAGCCACACGCTGGGGCGGGCTGCCTCTGCCTCGCCGCCGACTCAAACAAAATGTCCGAGGTCCCTTCGGAGATGTCCGGCCTGTCGGACGAGGTGCCAGCAGCCTTGCAGGATGCCGCCATCGTCTGCAGTCATTCGTCTGCAATCGTATTGCTCCTGACGGATGGAGGACGCTGCCTGTCGAGCATACATTGGCCCTGACAGCTGATCTCGCAGAGCGCACCGCCGAACTCCTGAAAAAATGCTGCGAACCTCGCTGGCAAAGACCGCACCAGGGCTCGGCGGGCACGGGTCTCCGAAGCCAAGAGCAAGTCAGCCGCTTGGGCTCATTCGACAGGTATTGAACCCCACGCAGATGCACTGAACAGGGGAATCGTCCCTACTTTCCTGTATGGCGTCAGGCCATTTAATGGTCTTGACGTTCAGTCTGGTTCTTGCAGGCTGAGGCGCAGAGTCTCGCTGAAGTTTGGCAGACGGAGTTAGGCCAGGCGCCTCGCACTCCGCGGGGGGGCGAAGGCGGGCTGCCCCCGACTCGGGGGGACCCCTTGAGGCGGGAGAGAGAGCCCCTGGGATAGAGAGAGCCCCTGTGCAATGATAGAGTATGCTGCATGTGATCGTGTTGTCTTAGCTCTTGGATCAATGGGAGAAGTTTCGCGATGCTTATGTTTGTCCTGGAGTGCGCCCGGGAGACTGGGGCCGTTTCTCGCAGGACTCTCCAACGCCGCACTGTTCATCTTGAAGCTTCAAGTTTCCAACGGCTACATAGGGTGAGGGCGGGCCGTCTTTAACATGTTGTTATCGCCCTACCGCCTCGCACACTCGTCTTAAGAATTGTTGAATCGGGGTCGCACCTCCCGCCCTTGCACCGCGACCAGTCGCCTTAGAAGTCCTCAACAGCCTCACGAATGGAGGGAGCATTTTTCCTCAATGGCACAATCGCTTGGGACCTTCCCTTTCGTACTGGTGCGGTAAGTTACACAGATGGAAGTCGGATTATTGTCAAAGCGGGTTTGTCGATTGAGATTTGTTTGATAGTCGCAGCATGAAGTGAAAGCATGTGCCTCAGCTGCATGTAACGAGGTCAGTTTCTTTTCATACTGGGGCTCGCACTTGACACTTCTTGAAAATACGATCCTACCTGTTCGCGTTCCTTACAGCTAGCAGGATGGATGGAGGCCACATTGCCAAAACGGGGCTCGCGACTGAGTTTCATGCCCACGGGGCGCTCTCCTTCAAGGGGGCGCTTCTTACATTTGATATGGTTTTCTGTTCGATCTCATGTGGTGGCGAGTTGGGACGGGGGGGTGTATCGTACCATCGTTGATGTTTCCTTGGTCTGCTCTGGTCCTGTCCTCGTCGTCGCCTTCGTCTTCCGCTCGTGCCGCTCCGCAGAGCCGTCCTGCCAGAGCTCGAGCGGGGGGGGGGGGCGGCTCCTGAGAAGGCACGGGGCCTCTTCATTAGAAGCCCTCCCGCCCGCGGGACGCCGTTTTGAAGCGCTCCCTTTTTCCGAGCCTGTCGGAGAAGCCCCTTGCCGTCTGAGAAGGTCGCTTCCGTCGCCCCACCCCCGACCGAAAACCGGACACGCGCGAACGGTGCGTTCGTTAACACCAGCTGTGGGAACATCAACTGTGTGGGAACTCGTGGCTCGTGGGAGCGCGTGCTCCGTGCTTTCCTGCAGCTCGCTGTGCCGCTGTCGCTCGGAATATTCGCGCATCTCGAATGCAGGAAGCGGTGGTTCGTGATGCCCTACGCTCTCTCCCTTGCGAGCTGGGTGTCACGAACACCAGATTCCCAGCCGCACCGTGAGCCAAGCATGCTCTGAGCGCGGCCTTGGCAAGCCGTTCCAGCTGCGTCTCCCGCCGTGACGACGAGAACCTCCAGAACCACCAGAGAGCTCCACGGCGACGGCGTCGGCGACGCCGGCGTCGTCGACGCCGTCGCCGAAGGCCACTCAGAAGCTTCCCAGAGGTGCCGACAGTTCAGGCCTCGGCCAAACAACTGGCCCCAGGCCCCGCCCGAGCTCCATCCCGGCAAGTTGTTCCAGCTGTGTCTGGCCGTGGCGACGAGAACCTCCAGAGCCACCAGAGAGCTCCAAAGTCCACGGCGTCGTCGACGCCGTCGTCGAAGTCCACTCAAAAGCTCCCTCCCCTCCTCTGTGCCTGTAGGCCTCCCAGCTGGGGTCAGAGCAGACGGAATAGGGTCGAAGGCTCATCGGCGATTCGGCGCGATGCTCGATCCAAGGTCGAGGTCGGTTCGGGGAAGGTGCACTCGTGTTCCTCGTGTTTGCTGGACGTTAAATGTGCGTCGTGGGGAGGGTACCTTGTCGCTGTTCTGCGTGTTGTGGCCAGCGGAGGGTCTCATGTTCTTGAGGGATGTTCTTCTGGCCTTAGGTACGACTGTACCACCAACGCCAGGCTCTGAGATTGCCTTCCACCGGGGGAGGCAGCCCCCTAAGTGCTGGTGTCGTTGCCTATATATCCATGCCTCCAATGCCAGGGGTGCCAGACGTGCAGGGCAGTCTCTAGGATTTTCTCCGTCCTGGCCCCCCCTTTTTGAAACATACAATTTATGACAGAAGCTGGATAGACCATGTCGCTTTCGCATTCGGCTCACAATCGCAGTGGATTCATCTCGGATGCCAGTGCAACCGCCAAGCCGACACCCGTTGAGTTTGAGCGAGCGTTTGCTGCTGTGGCCAAGGCGCGTTCCCGCCTGGGAGCGGTGGCTGGCAGCGAGGCTCTTGGCTAGCCCTTTCCCCTCCCCGATGGCAGAGAGAGAGGGCCGCGTGGACGCCCTGGTACTGTGTATTTTGGCCGACGGAGGGTCTCGTGCTCTTGGGGGACGTTCTTCTGGCCGAGGCCCGACTGCACCCGGACCCCATTTAGGGGGGCCTCTGGGTGCGCGCTGCCCCACCTGCGAGGGCGCCGAGCTCGAGGGCCAGGAGGAGCACCTGGCTCGCCGCCGCGACGCGGCGCTGACGCGCACGCGGGGGCTCTTCGAGGAGGTTCGCCAGATGGAGGCGCGCCCACCACGGCCGGGGAGCCGTCTTCCCATCCTTCTGCACGAAGGAGGTGGGCACGGAAAGAGTGGGTACAAAGCTCAGCAGCAGTTCCTGTTTATTTTGAGCAGAACTCGCTGTCGGTGTCGCCGCGGACTGTGCCTATTTGAGACACAGGGCCGCCTGCCCAACAGCGGCCGCTGTTGGTTTGGGACAACATTTGTTGTTGGGCATTGTACCCATTTTTTCCGTACCCATTTCGGGCGTCCAAAATCCTGCCACCATAGGGGGATGCGAAGTCTTTTGAAGACGGGACGGGGTGGGCACGAGCGGGCAGCATAGCCAGCTCGAAGTCAAGAGAGGCATCATCGCCTCATCAAGCTGGATTGACCCACTCACGGATCCAATGCAACTTTTTGATTGAAATCATTGCATGCGTAGCATGCTCTCCCCACGCGTCGTCACAGGAATGCGACGGACGGATTTTTGCTCTCTTCGGCCCCAGGGCCCTCGCCGGACCCCTGGGCCGTGACAAGTACGACTCGGGATGAAAAAAAACGGTCCCGGGGAACAGGTCGAGACCTTTTGGGGTCGACTTTGTGAAAAAATCATGACGTCGGGGGCTTATGAGGAAAACCATCCAAAACGTAAGTTATCAAAGATCCATGCGGACTGTCAAGTGTTCATGTTCATGCAGTGTTTCTCCACCCAGTGTTTGCATTTGGGGGATCGCATGTCTTTTCTAAGGAACTGGGCTGGTGAGGCGGTCTGGCGGTATGGTGCCGCCGTCGTCGCTCCGTTGCCGCACCGTCGCCGCCTCGTCGCCGCCCGTCGTCTGGGACAGTGTGGCCGTCTGGCGGCTGTGTTGCCGCCGTCGCCGACCCGTCGCCGCCTCGCCGCCGCCCTGGATTGCACAACATGTATTCTCCGTTCTAAAGAGAGAATAAATAGACTCTACTCCCCCCCCCGGCGTTATGGGCCCCCCTTTCGGGTATGTAAATCATAGATGATTCTGACCACGTGTCCATCCTAAATATAAATTTACACTATCCCAGGGGGGCCGGTATCGACCCCTCTGAGGTTCCTTAGTAAAAAACGATACGCGGGGACATCTTTTGTTCTAACATTGCACTTTTTCACGAATCCCTGGCAAACAACTTGGACGAAGTGCACACGCGCGCGCCGTCGCGCGCACATGCCGCAATCCTCCAAAAACCTTCGGTGTCGGAAGGATTTCGCAATCGACTTCCCAAACAACATGCAAAAACAGAGGGTTTCGCAACACTGATTTGCTAAACAAATTTACGCGCGAGCTCTTGCGAAATCTTAAGAAAACCATAGGGTTTTCAAGATTTTCACAAACTGCTACCAAACGGGCTTCGCGCGCGCGCATGCCGAAATCTGTCGAACGTCCTTGCGCGCGTGCCGTCGCGAGAATCCTTTGCAAAAAATGGGACGAAGTGCAGACGCGCGCGTCGTCGCGCGCGTATGCCGCAATCCTTGAAAACCCATCGGCTTCGGAAGGATTTCAACATCGTGTGACCAAAAAACATACAAAAACACAAGGTTTCGCAACACGGATTTTCAACAAAAGCGTGCGCTCGCGCTCTTGCGTAGTCGTCGCCGTCGTCGTCGTCGTCGTCGCCGTCCTCCCTCCTCCCGTCGTCGTCGTCGCCTTCGTCGTCCTCTGTCTTTCCTCGTCGTCGTCTTGGCGTCGTGGTCGTTTCCGTCGTCGTTGTCGCCGTGGTCGTCCTTCCTCCCTCGTCGTCTTCGTCGTCGTTTCGTCGTTGTTCCTCCTATTTCGTCGCCGTCGTCGTCGTCGTCGTCGTCTTCCCTCCTCCCTCGTCGTTGTCGTCGTCGCCGTCGTCATCCCTCGTCGTCGTCTTCGTTGGCGACGTCGTCGTCGTCGTCTTCGCCGTCGTCGTCGTCGGCGTCGACGTCGTCGTCGTCGGTTGCGGCGTCGTCGTCGTCGGCGTTGTCATCGTCGTCGTCGTCGTCGTCAGCGTCGGCGTCGTCGCCGTCGTCGTCGTCGTCGGTGTTGTCGTCGTCGTCGTCGTTGTCGTCGTCGTAGTCGTTGGAGACGTCGTCGGTGTCGTCGTAGTCGTTGTCGGCGGCGTCGTTGTCGGCGTCGTCGTCGTCGTTGTCGCTGTTGTCGTCGTCGTCGGTGTCGTTGCCAAGTGCCATGTGGTACCCACCGTCATGATCTCAGAAGGTCTTGCGACCAAGTTGCGGGTGGGAGGGTGGGATTTTTGCACGAGCGGTGGAGAGGACAGCTTCAAGACAATCAAAGTGACTTGCACCGCATAGATTGCACCACATGGATTGCACCGCATATATTGCACAACCTGTGTTGCACCATATGGATTGCACAACATGTATTTTCCTTTCTGAAAAAATGACCCCCCCCCGGCGTTATGGGCCCCCCTTTTTCGGGTATGTAAATCCTGTACGATTCTGACCACATGTCCATCCGAAATATGAATTTACACTATTCCAGGGGGGCCGGTATCGACCCCCCCAAGGTTCTTTTGTAAAAAACTATACGCGGGGACATCTTTTGTTCTAACATAACACTTTTTCATAAATCCCTTGCAAACAACTTGGACGAAGTGCACACGCGTGCGCCGTCGCGCGCACATGCCGCAATCCTCCAAAAAACTTCCGTGTCGGAAGGATTTCGCAATCGAGTTTCCAAAACACATACAAAAAGACAGGGTTTCGCAACCCTGATTTGCTAAACAAGCTTACGCGCGAGCTCTTGCGACATCTTAAGAAAACCACAGGGTTTTCAAGATTTTCACAAACTGCTACCAAACGGGCTTCGCGCGCGCATGTCGAAATCTGTCGAACGTCCTTGCGCGTGTGCCGTCGCGGGAATCCTCTGCAAAAGATGGGACGAAGTGCAGACGCGCGCGTCGTCGCGCGCGTATGCCGCAATCCTTCAAAACCCATCGGCTTCGCACGGATTTCAACATCGTGTGTCCAAAAAACCTACAAAAACAGAAGGTTTCGCAACACGGATTTTCAACAAAAGCGTGCGAGCGCGCTCTTGCGTTGTCGTCGTCGTCGTCGTCGTCGTCGCCGTCCTCCCTCCTCCCGCGTCGTTGTCGTCGTCGTCGTCGCCTACGTCGTCCTCTGTCTTTCCTCGTGTTCGTCGTCGTCGTCCTCGTTGGCGTCGTGGTCGTTTCCGTCGTCGTTGTCGCCGTGGTCGTCCTTCCTCCTTCTCCCTCGTCGCCGTCGTCGTCCGTCGTCGGCGTCTCGTCGTCGTTCCTCCTAATTCGTCGCCGTCGTCGTCGTCGTCGTCTTCATTCCTCCCTCGTCGTTGTCGTCGTCGGCGTCGCCGTCCTTCCTCCTTCTTCCTCCTTCTTCGTCGTTCGCGTCGTCGCCGTCCTCCCTCCTCCCTCGTCGTTGTCGTCTTTGTCGTCGTTGTCGCCGTCGTCGTCCTCCCTCCTCCCTGGTCGCCGTCTTCGTTGGCGACGTCGTCGTCTTCGTCGTCTTCGTCGTCGTCGTCGTCGGCGTCGGCGTCGTCGTCGTCTTCGTCGTCGCCGACGTCGGCGTCGTCGTCGTCGCCGCCGTCGTCGTCGTCGTCGTCGTCGTCGGCGTCGTTGACGTCGTCGTCGTCGTCGGTGTCGTCGTCGTCGTCGGCGTCGTCATCATCGTCGTCGTTTTTTTCGTCGTCGTTGTTGTCGACGTCGTCGTCGTCGGTGTCGTCGTCGTCGTTGTCGGCGTCGTCGAAGTCGTTGGAGACGTCGTCGGTGTCGTCGTAGTCGTTGTCGGCGGCGTCGTCGTCGTCGTTGTCGCTGTCGTCGTCAGCGTTGCTGTCGTTGCCAAGTGCCATTTGGTACCCACCGTCACGGTCTTGGGAGATTTTGCAAACCAAGTTGCGGGTGGGTGGGTGGGATGTTTGCGCGAGCAGTGGAGTGGACAGTTCTCTGCGAACAGAAATTGCACCACATAGAGAACCCCACCTACATTGCACCGCATAGATCGCACAACAGACATTGCACAGCATCAATCGAACAGTATACTTACTTAGTTCACACCACATGTACTGCACATATGTTGTACAATTTGTTGCGTATGTTGTCTCATGTATTGCACATATGTGTATAGTTAGCTGCATATGTTGTACCAGTTGGGTTGCACAACATATGTTGCACCGCGCAGGTCGCACACATCAAACAATAAAACACACACATATATTGGTATATATACACACATACATGTATATATGCACATGCATATACATATGTGTATATATGTTTATATATGAACACACAGATCACCCCACCTAGATTGCACCGCATAGATCGCACATCATATACTGCACCACATAGCTTGCACCACTTAGACTGAACCGCATATATTGCACAACCTATATTGAGCCACGTATACTGCACAACATTATATTGCACCACATCGAGTGCACATAATAGGTTGCTAAAAACACACTGTTTTAGGTCCACGCTGGCTAACATTTTTTCGTCAAGGGGCAGATGTCGACAAAAGCATCGCCTTTGGGAGGTCCGCCCCGGTCTCTCGGGTCTCTAGTAACGTTAGGCTCGCTCTAGTAACGTTAGGGTCGGCACCTAACGTTAGGGTAACGTTAGGTGCCGATATCTTAGGCCTCGGCCAAAAAAACTACGGTGGATATCCATGCCAAGAAGCACCTGGCTTGCCTCCAGGGTGCCCTGGGTTTCGTGGGTGCCGATGGTCTTGCGATGGAGAGCGTGACGTGCCCACGCCAAAAACTAATGAACGCCCTGGGGCCTTAGGGTTGGGTTTCTTGTGAAAGGTTTTTTGTGGACTGGCCCTCCAGGGTAGCCCCAAGCCCCTCCCGAGGTCCATCCTGGCAAGTTTTCCAGCTGCAGCTGTGTCTGGCCGTGGCGGCGAAAACCTCCAGAACCACCAGAGAGCTCCAAAGTCCACGGCGTCGTCGACGCCGTCGTCGAAGGCTTCTCGAAAGCTCCTCCCCCTCCTCTGTGCCTCTAGGCCTCCAAGCTGGGGTCCGAGCAGATGGG